TATAAAATATTGCGACTGAATGCGACTGAAAAATTATTAATGGTCCATGAATTATGAAATTAGCTGTAAAAAAAAAATTTTTTTTTAAATATTTTATTTTGTTTAATTTGATTGGTTAACCTGAATTTTATCAGATCAGGTCATAGCTTAATCCGATATGATATTTACCTGAAAATTTGTCTACTTGACCTGGATTTTCAAGTCAGATCAGGTTAAATCACAGGTTGATCTGATCTGTTTCAGAGTTCTATTACTAATAGATTGTAAAAGATATTACTAGATTATAAAGTTACTAATAGATTAATAAATTACCAATAGATTGTGAAGTTACTACTAAATTATGAAGTTACTTTCATAATCTATTAAGAGTTATTAGCGATTTTAACGACTTTATGATTAGCTAATAAAATAAGTAATATAAATCTAAATTTTATTATTTATTTTTTAAATATTTGATATTATAAATAAAATTTATATAATTGAAGATTATAATTTAATTTAAATAAAATTTTAGAAAAAATTTTTTATTTATCTATAAAAATTATATTTAATAATTATTTATATCTTAATTTTTAATGAATTTATTCAAATTTATTAAAGATTATTATTTTTAATAATTATAATATTAAATATATTGAAATTATAATTAATTTTAAAATTTTAATTAATTATAACTTGAATTGCAATCCTTTGAGTTACAACTATTTATAAATTTTTATATTAAATAAATTTAAAAGAAGTAATAATTAGTTGTAATTAAGGTTGCTTGTCTAAACTCATTTTGGATTTTGCAAAATGGTTAAACCTTTAGTTTCGCTAAATTTTTATTAAGTATTTAATATAGTTTCGCCATTTTTATAAGCTTTGATATAGTTTTACCTTTTTCCAAATTTCACAGAATTTTTAATAAGGTTTTAATATAATTTAACCAAGTTTTACTTTTATCATTTAGACGTCTGTCTAAACTCTTGATTTCGTCCAGCAACCTTAGTTGTAATTAATCTGCAACTTATTGAATTGTAATTTTTTAATTATAGTATCATTTTTAAAATTTTTAAATATGTAAAAATCTATATTAAATATAAATTTTTATATTTTACTAAGTTTTTAAATAAATAAAAAAAAAATAAAAAAAAATAAATAAAACAATAAATTTTAATTTTTATAAAAAAAATACTTTTATTAAAAAAAAATTCAAAACTTTTATATAAAACATTACTAATTAATGTATTTTTTTTTTTAAATTATAATTAAACATAAATTTTATTATAAATATTATTTATTTAATAAATAATTTTTTAATATATTTAAATTAACTTTGTTAACAAGTAAAATTCCTTTTAAATTTAAAAAAAAAATCACAAAAAAATAAATTTAAATATTATTTTAAAAATAAATATAATATTATATAAAATATACTTATAATATTTTAATTTAATAATATATAAAACCTAATTTTTAAGTAAATATAACAGATATTGTTAATTAGTTAATTATATTTATTTATAAATTAATATAATCATTTTAATTAAAGAAAAAATTACTAGAAAAATCCAAAAAATCAAGATGTTATTACATTTTAATCTAATAATAAAGTACAATAAAATTCTAATTTCTAGCAATATTTCTATTTATAATAATATAATATATATAGTAGTTTGATAAGTATTATAAAATTTAATTAATTTAAAAATTCTGTTATTATTAATAAATATATTTAAATTAATTTTATTAGTTTAAGATAATATTTTATGAATTCAAAGAATGTACAGTATAACAAACTACAGTTAAAAATTTTTATCATATAAGTAAATAATAATAATTTTTAATTTAGTAACTGATTAATCCTATAATAAATTATTATGATACTATACATATCATTAATATAATGAATAGTATATTATATATGTTCTCATATATGGTGGGAAACTAAAAAATATTATTGTTAAAGATATTTTAAAAAAGAGAAGTCAGAAAGAAGCATGACGTTATAAAATTTTTAATCTGGTTAATAATTCATGCAATTCATGCATAGTTTTAGCTTCAAACACAACAAAATTGGCATCGTTACTAATTAAAGTTATGATCTTGCAAATCGAATTTTTTTCACGGGTAACTTTTAAGTTCCGTAAATTTCTGTAATATTCATGTGAAGAATTCTCTATAAGTATTCTTTTATAAAAATTTTTTTTTTTTAGGATTCATCGAACTTCTCTTTTATTTTAAATGATCGATCAACTTGGATTCTTTTAATATCACATATGCATATTGTAATCCTTGAGGTGAATAAAAAAAAAATACATTTTCGTGATAAATCATAATGAACCTTTTTTTTTAGTTCTTTTAAGGAATAAAGAACCTTAAACTATCATTGAAACCCAATTTGTGCATATACACTTTCAATGTTTTTATTTGCGCATGAAAATAAACAAAAAACATTTGATATTAACATGATATTTTCTTTTACAAGAAAATAATCTTATTTGCAATATCCATTAACAAATAAGAAGCCATATTACTTTAAAAGTGTTTCATCAAAGATGCTTTTTTTTGTTTCACCAAAAATGCATTGCATTTTCCGCGATGTTTTAATTTAAAACATTTTTGGATATTTGAAACCGAACTGCATCCCCCGACATATCATTACATCATACATCAGCAATGTTAGATAATGTTGTGTCTATTTTTTTTTCAAAAAAACTAGTTACACAAGACAATGATCCGAAAACCGGGGTTTAAGGCAGATTATGTAAGCAGACTTGCATTATAAAAATTATAAAATAAAATTTTTTAAAAGCACGTTTTTTATTTTTCTAGTTATACGCTAAAAGACGCTAAATTTTATTATTACTCTTATAACAAACATCATATGATTACAGTTATTTTCAATGTTATTTAACCCTTATCCTAACTAGTTTTAAAACGCGATATATTTTTTATTTGTTTTTTATCTTCTTTGCGACAAGGAATGTTTCAAACTAACTTGTAATGACCTAAGCAAACGCACAATTTTATATAAATGCTATCACGCGATAATTTAATATTAAAAACCTGTTTAAAATACCGCATTGCTTAATTTTTTTCTCTAATAAAATAATTATTACCTAATAACCTTTAATTAATCCCAATTCAAGGATCATCGTTGCATTTTTATTTTTATTTATTATGCTTAGCAATATTTTTACGGACAAAGGATCTTTTTGAAAGTACTATCTTGTATGATTTTGAGCTTTAGAATTATCAAAGTTGGAAAATATTTTTCGTTATTATCGAAACAGCATTCTTTTTTTTTTTAAAAAAAAAAGTGGTTACACCATTAATTTTCATTAATTTTGACAGTTTTGTCGATGGTTTGTGTACCATGTTGATCGATGTCAAAACAATTGTCATTGTTAAACCTTAAAGTAATCTTTTTATGTGTTATGATTAAAAAATAAAAAAAATAAAATAAAAAAAAAAAAAACAAAGAAATTAATATAACATTTAAATTATACATAATGTTTATTAAAAGATTCTTTATCGATTAAATAATCAATGCAAGGAAAAAATGGGAGCTTATACATGAACGGAAACAATAGCAAACAATGGAGAATGTCAAATGAATGGAACTTTTTTTATTAAATCGTTATTAGAAAATGTTAAAACTTGATGTATTCCATTGTTTTTTTTTGCATTTGCATAAATGAAAAAGATCATAAACACAATACATGACATAAATCTTTTTTCTTTTTTTTTTTTTTTTTTTTTTTTTATATAAAATCTTCTATTTATATTGTATTTATTACTTTTAAATGTGTGTGGTTGTTCTGTTATTTATGTTCGATATTTCAAAAACCTGAATTTAAAAGTAGGTGATACTGTAAATAAATCGCTCAATATAAATTGCTCAGTTCTTTTTCTTTGAAAACATAATTTTCTTTTTATTCTAATTATTTTGTCTTAAATTTTTGTCACATAATTTTTTTGTCTAAATAAACCGATAAAATTTTAAAAAGTAATTGTGAAAAAGTAATTGCGAAAAAAAAAAGGAAGTAACATTTTATAATATTACTAATTATATACAAACGAGTAAAGGAGAACCTTTTTTTTTTCATTTGTTCAAGTTAAAAACGGTAAAAAATAAGAAAAAACAGGTTTGTCGCATGCATTTAATAAAATTAAATCCCTGCATGTTATTTTCACTACGACAGAATGCTGCGTGAAAAAAAAATTTTAACGACGACTCTTAACAAATATAATCGAAAAAAAAAAAAAAAAAAAACAACGAATGAATATTTAACGCCAAACTTTCAGAATATCTTTAACGAACAAGATAAGTATTATTCAAAAAGAAAAAAATCATTTTTCAAAGTGAAATTACTAATAAAAAAAAAATTATATCGAAAACGTGGTAAAGTAACCTAATATTTTTGGACAAGACTTACTACTTTAGGAATATGCTAAGTAAAAAAAAAAGAACAAAAACCCCCCTTCAAGATTTACTCTCGGATTTTAGTCTTCCTCATTTCAATTTTCATCATGTCCTTGCAATAAAATTCTTTTTTGTCGTTGTCCTTTATCTATTGACATTTCGACCTCCTCATATAATCTTTCTCCCCATTCTGGTATCATCCCTCTCGTTTCTACACCATCAACAGTGCCTACAATTCCGTTCAATCGAGGATACTTGCTCAAAATTGCTTCAAAAAGTTCGAGTTTTAGTTCTTCTTCGAGTGCCATTTGAAACTTGACATCGATGCCATATAAAGTATATGTATATTGATCTATACCATATTGAAGGCACGCAGAGGCATAAAGTAAAGCCTCGAAGAATGGTTTCATTACGTGGGTTTTTGTTAGGTTTCCAGTGGGTGACCGGTGATCTTTGGCGACCTCCGCGGAAGATAAGTGATTGTTAAAAGAACTTGTTTGTCCGGTTTCCGCTTCATCGTGTCTTGGTACTTGTTCGCCGCTTCCAGGGCACAAAGAATATTCAACTCCATCGCCTCGACCTCGAAATTGCCTCACCATCACCCAATTTCCGTCTTGTTCTTCTCTCAAAACTACACTCGTTTCATTAATTGCGTCACTCCCTCGCTCTTGCCATTCTCTTCCCGACAACTGCCAAGCTCCTCTTCTCAATTTTTCCACTACAGCACTTGCGACCTTTTCTTCTTCATCACAAACTTGAATGCCTTCGTATAGCATTTGACGGACCTTTGTCATCTTTTCCACGCATTTTATGAACCAATCAACACCTTCGGAATCAGTTGGTGCAGCGTATGGTATTTTTGCCATATTCTCGCGGAAAAGTCGCATCCTGCCTTGTTGGTCATACTTACAATGATGAGATAGGAAGTGCTGAATCGTCGTGGAATTTAAGATTCCAAGAAAAAAATACGGAGGAAGCTTGGTGGTTGATTTGATCGTAAAATATATGCACTTTCACCATTTCGTTGAGAGAGAAGTTAGTAAAAGGGAAGTCCTTTAATACCAGAATATGGGAAAAGTTTGTAATTCACCTGATTGGTTACACACACGTTATCTTCATCGATGAAGAATCGTTGACGTGGCTAACCATAAGAAAAAAAATTATGCACAAAATTATATTATGAAATGATATGATTTTTCTCGTTAATATTATTTACTATAAGAATATATTCAAAAAAAAAAAAAAAAAAAAAAATTTAATCCTATGGACCATGTAAGTAATTAAGAAACCTACTTGATTTTTTGAAAAGTAACCATAATTTATAGGGTGGATAATTTTTGTTTGAAAATCGATACTACAAGATATATAAGTCAAATAATATAATAAGCCAAAATATTCGTTATTAACCAAATTCGTTCTTTAAAAATTTCCGACTAAAGATTTACTCTAAAAAAACATAAAATCCGTGTAAAGAAAAGAATAAAATAAAGCTAATAAACCCCTATGAAAATCTTTTTATACAGAGATGTACGGTTATTATAGAAAAAAGCTGATTATAATCATTGAACAGATACTTCTTTTCGTGTGATACAAAATGGAAGTAAAAAACACATAAAAAATATTCTTCATAGATAATATATATTATATGTTTGACTTACCCGCATTTACTTGTTCCGCAATATGCAATTTCCCTGGAATTCATGCCGGTCTGTAAATATATGCGTGCCTCCTTTAGATACTTCCAGAATTCGCTATGTTCACCAAAATCTCTACGAACTTTGTCAACAGCATCTCGATCGACCATTATTAAAGAATACATCGATTTATCCTGTTCGAGCCCACCCTTAGCTATCGTAGTTCCACCAGAATTGTATGAAATAAAGGGCACATATGCTTCCGCAGGCGAGCTTTCTTTTTTTTCTAATCTTAATTCGTCACCCATTTTTTGCCAAAATTCAGCCTCTTTTCCGCCATTTTTTCCATTCCAATAAAATACCGGACGTAACCAGCGTCTACACACATCAGTACCAAATTTACTGTACGCCCAATTTGTACGAACGACAAGAGCGTAAACTGGATTCGTATTGGGACCTCTGTGCCAAATTAGTGGATTATTTTCAACCCAAGTATGCTTCATGCTAGCATGGTCACACAAAGAAGGTAGATGCGAGGTAATGGTGCGAAGATAAGTGCTCACTTCTGAAGAAGGCATTAAGAAAGTGAACGAGAAAGAATTTGTCTGTGACGGTAGCTGGGTTTGTGGATACGGAGGCGTAAGCTTGTGGTGCATATCTTTTTCAAACTGAGTGGCTTGGTTCGGGTTGAAATTATTATACGCTTGAAGAGTTTCTTGCAGAGATGCCTTACGATTCATGTATCGCAAGAAAAGAATTTTGGGCTCCGATAAAGCAGGTCGTACAGAAGGAACGCCGGTCGTTAGGATCTCACGTCTACGACGAAGTCGAAATATTAGAGAATCGGTTTGGATTTTACGCCAGACCTTGAATGGTTCGAATTGAAAAAATTCGACAAGATGGCACCGGTTCCATAACCAGGCTCTATAGTATGCAATTGGACAAAATGATTGGTAAGAATTTAACCATTTGATGCGGGAATATAATAAAAATAGTAATAATTTTTGCGCTCTACCTCAATTTATCGGCGAATTCTAATCCCATCCATTGGCTTGCTATTATATAAAAAATAAATAAATAAATAAATAAATATAAATAAATAAATATATATATACATACATCCAATTGTATATTAAACAAGTTTTTTTTCATTTTAGTAATTATTAAATGTATGAAAACTTTATCAATGAACACTTTTTAATATGCTATTGTTTAAGCGCATAATTTGAATTATCTGAAGTCACACAAATCTAGATATTTTCACCAAACAAATATAGTTACATGAAAATCTTTCACGCAAAACTATAAAAACAAGTTTCAAAACAAGAAATACAGAATGCAAGGGGAAAAATTTTTTTCTCACCACTAATAAGGCAAATCTCGCCTGTTTCTTCTTTACATCTTTCGACGCAGAACCAAAAGAAATATGCATAAGCTTGCATTCCACCTTTACCCAAAACCCTCTCGTCAAAAAGTTCACTATCAGGTTCCGAAATAAATCCCGTCTTTCTAATCATATATGGTGGATTGGTGACGATAAAATCAAACTTGAGATTTTGCGGTGACCTCAACAATTGTAAATTTTCACATTCCCATGCATGTTCACCTTTTTCTTCTGGAAGGTACAAATTTAGAGTATCATTGCGAAACAAGTGAAGTCTTTCCAATTTTATATCATTAATATAGTTGTTGAGAACGATAAACCTCTTAAAGAGAGGTATGATATGCAACGTGATATTTATTTTGCATAGAAGGTATGCAATCACGTCGATCTCTATACCCCAAAGATTCTTGGACAATGACAGAAGCAGATTGGAGATTGCTCTCGAATTATTCCACACATTAGGGCATTTCTGAGCTGCAAGAGTCAACCGACTTATAAATTCACAAAGGAAGGAGCCTATTCCCATACAAGGATCTAAAACGCTAGGAGCCTGAGGAAGACATCCCAAAGGAGTTACCAAAAGCTTATCCAACCATGTCTCATTTCCTTTGTTAACTAATACACGGTCCCACATGAATATCATAACTTCCCTTGGAGTATAGAATTGGCCGTGATCTTTTTGCTGTTCTTTAGCCAACACATTTAAAAAATGTTTTGTATAAAACATTGATAATATTGATTCTATTTGTTCAATTTGCTCCAAGGTAAAATGAACGCCAAGAGTTTGAAATCTCGTCGAAACGGTACAGAATTGATACTGAGGATTCTTCACAAAAGAATGGTAGAACCACGTGAAAGCTTCTATATTTTCTCCCTTGTTTTGTAGTTGATCAATATTAAATGGCATATTACTACATTGTTGAGAGAAATTGTCTTCTTCATGAAATATTTTCATGAAATCTTCCACTTTTGGTACTACTTCACTATCCTCCCGCATAAAATCCAAAGCTATAGCGTCAAATAACATTTGAATTACGGTGACGAAAGATGTTTTTTGACAGTAGAAATTCAGAATATTTCTAAATAAATCTACTACTGAATAGGTGGATACCATGGGAGAAATTGGTGGAATTGCGGGAATTGAAGTAACTACATCGATATAATGACGAATTTGGTCGTCGTCATTGATAGTAGGAAGAGAATTGGCCAGTTGTGAGGACATAGGATCATTGACAAACTTATTATAGTCACGGCGAAGAGCGGAGTGAATGAAAGGATCCAATCCTTCCAATCCGGGAAGATCTGAAAAATATGTAAAAAAGGATCGAAATTAATAGGTATCAGTCAGTGATGTACCAAATTTGGTATTTATTTCTAATTTCATAAATAAATAAGCAACCATCAACAATAAAATTTTCCGAAAGATTTATCATAATCTTTTTTATTTTTTATTTTTCTTTTGAAACACTTTGCCCAAACCCACCAAATTCTTACCACCTTTAACACCTAAAAATAATAAATTTTTTTTTTTTTTAAACCTTCCTTACCTGAATGTTTTTTTGTAATCTCATTCCATATATATAATTTGAAATCATCCAATACGATGCCTAGCACTTCTACGACTTTACCTACTAAATCTTCAGAAAGCAGGTTTGTTGAAAAGGATGAAAATGATGTAGTGAAGGGTCCTTGTCTCCTTTGTGAATTGTTGGATTCAGTGTTGTTAACAAGGTTTTGAGGGTTAACAGACTTAAAGATGTAAGGGGTCGGAAAGGTTATTTCAGAATTTTGTTTTTGTCGCGTTTGAGAAGACTCTTGAAAAAAGCCATTCCAAGTTTCAAGTTTCGGATCTTCTTCAACATCGTTAAGAAGATATCTTAGCCAATGGTCATCGCTATTTGAGGAAATATCATTAGAAGACTTTGAACGAAGTCTTTTAGAACGAGTGACGGTCGTGCTATCGATTTTTTTAACTGTATTTGCCATTTTCAAAAAAATGACTTATAAGTGTGTATGTTATTCCTTATATTCCTTAAATTTTTTCGATAATAAAGCACAGAAGGAAAGTTTAAAGTCAGTCTAAAGAAAATAGTTTGAAAAACCACCACCTTTAGGCATATTCAAGACCGACTTTGTCAAGAAAGACGGTTAATAACTTTTCGATAAAATTTAAAGAATACGATGTTTCTATCCGCCTTCCGACAACTTTGGCCAACTCTGAGCCACAGGCGATTATTTAGCGATTTTCGTTGGTGAGACGGTAAAATACAGAGCGAAAGACAGCGAAAAGAAGTTGTGCGGGTAGAGCATTTGTTTTGCGTTTTATTATAATTTTCTGTCGTCATGAAAGTTTTAACACGTGATATATTGTAGGGAAAACAATTATATTATATTAGGATGCACTAAATATTAAATAAGTAGAATAAGTAGGGGGGTGGGAGGGGATTTTTTGTAAACCCCATACGTTAGTAACCTCTAGTCCTTATAACCCCATTTCCCGATTAACCAGTTTGGTAACTTGTTTAAGGTGGAGAGTTTTAATAAGAAAGTTTGTATAACCTGTAATAGCGAAAGAAAGATTTCCGAACTTCCAAATGAGATATGTGCAACCCATATTGTGGCGAAGCGACAAAAGTTAGATTTTTTTATTCATTTTTTTTTTTTGGCGAAGTATTTTTTTTACAAGCAGTTTGATTTGGACTTTTGGGGAACAAGACAGCTGTACCGAGGTACCGAGTTGTGAGGAAATTAATTTATTTATGATAATCATATATTTTACATTTTATAAAAGTTTTTTTTTTTACAGTATCAAAAACATAAATACTGTCAAATGAATTTTTTTTTGATTGAAAATCATTTTTTTTATATAGCAACCAACCAAATAGAAATTCGAATTTTTTTATCAAAAGGTTCGGTTTACAATTCTTAATACCTGTTTTTTTTTATTTTATTTTATTTATCAGTTTGTCAACATATAAACTCGAATTTTCTAAAAGATTTAAAAAAATCCATACGAACGCGCTTTCTCAGATAATAAATTTGAGTATCGCGGCTTGAGAATTTGAGATAAAACGGAGGTGCATTTAAAAAAAAAAAAAAAAAAAAAGAAAACACCAAATAAAAATATAAAAAATTTTTTTTTAGGGTGGATGTAAAAACAATTATAATCATGTAATGACATAATCATGATTTGCTAAGCCAAGATAATACTAATGGACTTCCAAAATTAATGTTTGTATCATTAGATGGTTGCGAAAAAAAAAAAAAGAGCTAATAAGTGGTTGATCGACCAAAGAGGATTCAAAGTACAACATGTTCGTTTTCCGAAAAGAAATATTTTTTTTTTACATTATCAAATCTATTACAATCAATTACATCATACACATCATTTTCAATTGAAAATGGAGAAACACAATACAAAGAGAAACACAATACAAGCAGATGTAAAAAAAACAATAATTGTCCATATTTTTTCATGGTTCAAAAGAGGAAACAGCCGTGAAACGCCTTTTGATAAGTGATTGAAAGCACAATTCTATCAAATAGTTCTTATGACCTATTGCATCTAATAAAAAATTGATGGGATTCACAATGAACTTTATTTATTTATTAATTTATACAATTTATATCATGATAGTATATTCGAAAACGGAATTAATTTTATCATTCAACAGATAATCCGACACAAATATGGTCAGTCCAACCACCAATCGCGAAACATATCCCTAAAGTTGTTATCACATATTTAATCGTGTTATAGTTGGTGATTGATTGATACCCCATATTTTGAACCCTAAATTTCACGAAACCCAGGGTCCACATACTCGGGAAGTGGGCAAAAGAAATATTAGACCATATATATATATATTGTACCTCGTACAATCCACCTAAACCATGATATTATCAATGTCATTCCTTATGTGAAGATGTTTGTACTTCTGTGACTTGAAATTTTTCGTGATCCATTCCTGGTGATTTGTTATTTGAGTTCCCAATGGTCAAAAAAAAAAAAAGGATAAAAAAAAGCCTTTTTTTTTGTACAAAACGCGAAAAAAAAAAATACATGTATGTACGTACGTCATGATTTAATTGACACAAATGCCTTTTATGATCTAACCGATCTAGGCAGAATTATGCCGGAGTTTATCATTAATTAAACTTGATTAAGTAATATAATGCTGTATTGGAAATCGAAAATTAAAGAATTCGCGTCTTTTCTTGTCACGGTTTCACAATTGCTGGCGATCAGGATTAAACTGTTCCACCAGAAATTCTTTGTTTTTTTATCTCTTTTTAAAAAAAAAAAGGATTTGAAAATTGTAATAAATTCGGAGTTTATCTCTTTTGTCATTGTAATAGCCCGAACATCTCCGCTAAGAAAACTTTCAAAAAGGAATGAAAAGGAATGTGAATAAAGACACGCTACGTCAAATATGTCACTCATTCTCATTTGTCACCAGAATATGTATGTATTGCTGCGGATATTTTGAAAAAGATGGCAGATTGATAAGAATTTCTCTTCCTAAACAAAAACTTTCCTTCTAAAGAATTAAAAAAAAAAAAGTAATCCTTTTTTTTGTATTCGTTCCCTCCATCCCAAACGCCGTCTAGAAAGAGAAAGAGAAAAAAAAGCCTTTCCCACCCCTTTCGAAAGGCATAATAACATCATGAACATCATGTCTTCATGATGGTAAGCAAGCTTACAAAATCTTTATTTTTATTTACATGACAAATATTAAGCCTCAAAAAAATTTTTTATCTTCTTTTTTTTAAAAAACCATTACCTCATTTTGAATGTGATGTAAAATTCGCTACTTGGTAATGATATTGTTTTGATAATAGTAACAACGCTCGTCGCTCGTTTTTCGTTCGTTAGCAAAATGTGCTTTCGTAATCCCGTAGAACAATAACTGATTGTAATTCTTTGTCTTTTTATGGAGGTTAAATAACTATTCTAAATTTTTTTTTACGTTTTTATTTTTAAAAAAAGGGGGCATCCCTTATCATTATATCGGGTGTTTGTTTCGATTATTAGCACAAAAAGAATATAATAAAAAATTTAAAACGTCTCGCGCGTGACACGTAAAATATATTTTGGAAATAAATATATCTCCTGGGCTCCTTCCATTGCACTTCCCCATTTGTAAACTAGCCCATCGATAAAACCACTCATTCATTCCGCTCCATTCGTATGTTAAAGTCTTTGTTTGTGCATCAAATCGTTGTCTAATGGTATCACGGAAATCCCTCCAGTAAATTAAGTAACGCTCGCCCGACATTTTTTGTCTTTTTTCTTTGTTTTTTTTTTAGGAATTTTAAGATTAGGTTTAAACAAGGTCTTATTCTTTATCAAACCTCCGCATATTATCCTCGTGTGGTAATGAATTTCGAACTATTTGGTTCACATGTCCTGCTTTCTTGAAAAGGGAACTTGAGATTGTTCTTGAGACGGTATTAGCTATCGAAAAAAAATTACATTGTTTCTAAATTGAATAACAAAATTAACCCTTAATATTTATTTATTTATTTTAGTTTCCTTCTTTGGATTCAAAACCTTAATCATTCATTGGTTTTAAAAAAAGCGAATGATTATTATTATTATTGAGTTCCTAAAGTTGGACCTTTGAGAACGGGATAATCCCGTTTGGATAGTAGCACCGAAAAAAAAAAGATGAACTTCATACATATATGTATATACAATACAAAAAACGTTTTTAAAAAGATTAATAATATCCAATGTATTGTAAATCGATCATCAAGGTCCACAAAAGGACGGATCATACATACCGATCTTTTCTTTATTTTCTATTATCAGAATTTTTGACTAATTGGATGATGTGTGGATTTTTTGATGTTAAGCTGAGCTTTAGTAATAATCTTTGTCATTAAAGAACTTGAGAAATTGGATTGTGTTGACGTAATTCAATTGTCAAAGTTATCTCTCTCACATATATATATATAAGATGTATGTTTTTTTCATTTGTAATCTATAATTTGTCATGATATTTAACTCCTATTATGTTTTAGTCGCCAGCGATTTAAACGAGTATGGTCTAGGACCGTTTTGGTTCGATCGTTTTTGCCCGGCATCAGCTAATTTTTTAGTAATTTTGTTCTGAATTGACCGATCGGCATAATAATTGTAGATAACGATCTGTGATCCATCAAAAAAAAAAAAAATTCTTTCCATGGACAAACTCATTTTACCTGATAATCAACCTCTTGACAATGTACAAACGGAGGCAGAAGATTTACCTGTTATTTCACAACGAATCCACGATATAATAGAAGTGCTTAATAACTTTAAGGAGCAAGGGGATCATGAAAGGTGTCTTAATCATTTATGTTGAAAGTCATAAACCCTTCTTGTTGACTTTATAATAATTTTTTATCGTGAATTTTCTAGAGGAAGATTTGCTTATGTCGAACAACTTATTAAAGACATGGCAACTTATTATGGATATTCGGAGTTTCTTTTAGAAAAACTTTTTAATATATTTTCTACATCCGAGGTCATTTCTTTTGGTTAATTTTTTTTTTCTAGTCTTATTTAATAAATGAATTATCATATTTTTAATTATAACTGTTGTTAATAAAGTAAGGATGTATTATTTATTTATTTTATATTAGGCTTTGGAATTTTTTGAAGCAAACGAAGTTTCAAGACCAATTACAATTCGAACGAATACATTGCGAACGCGTCGTAGAGAATTGGCTCAAGTATTATAATGAATTAATCTTTTAATATGTTTTAATCAAATCTTTTGCCAATACCTTAATATTTTTATTTTTATAGTCCCTAATAAATCGTGGCGTGAGTTTGGAACCAATTGGAAAATGGTCAAAGGTCGGATTAACAATATTTGATTCAACAGTTTCAATAGGTATGTTTTTATTTTAATTATTTCATTGTAACTCAAATTAATCATATCTGTATACTTAGGAGCTACACCCGAATATCTTGCCGGTCATTACATTTTACAGTCTGCTTCATCTTTTTTACCCGTTATGGCATTAGCACCTCAAGAAAATGAAAAGATCTTAGACATGGCATCCGCGCCCGGCGGAAAATCAACACATATTGCAGCATTAATGAAAAATACTGGTATAATATTTGCTAACGATTCTAATAAAGTAAGAACTAAAGGTCTTGTATCCAACATACATCGATTAGGTGTTAAAAACACGGTAATTTGTAATTATGATGGTCGTGAATTTCCTACTGTGTTGGGGGGTTTTGATAGAGTTCTTTTGGATGCTCCTTGTAGTGGAACTGGCGTCATATCAAAGGATCCCTCGATCAAAATAAATAAGGTAATTTAAGAAAAATTATTTATACATTTTAATTAAGAATAATAAATATTGATCCTTTTTCAATAAAAAAAAAATCATAGACGGAAAAGGATTTTATTATATTACCTCATTTACAGAAAGAACTACTTTTATCAGCCATTGACTCTGTAGATTCCAAATCATCTACTGGAGGATATATTGTCTACTCCACTTGTTCAATAACTGTTGAAGAAAATGAAGCTGTTGTAAATTATGCTTTAAAGAAACGTCCCAATGTAAAATTAGTGTCAACAGGATTGGATTTTGGAAAGGAAGGATTTACAAAGTATGTAATTTCTTTTTGTTATTTTTTTATTTTTGGTATTCTTTAATTGGATATTTATCTTCTTTGTGTTCCACATTTTAGATACAGAGGCAATATCTTTCATCCTTCCCTGAGTCTAACTAGAAGGTTCTATCCTCATGTTCATAATATGGATGGATTTTTTGTTTCAAAATTTAAAAAGTTTTCAAATAGGCATGGACTGAAAAGAAAGAATGATGATGATGATGATGAACATAAAGGTATTAATAGATAAAATATCTGTTATTAAAGTAAAAGTAACGTATTTATTTTGAAAAAAAAATTTTTTTATTTTTAATTTAGATTCAAAAACCAAACTTAACTAATGATAAAGCTCTAGTAATGATATAATGTTGTATGATAAATCTTTATTTTGATTCAAACTTATTTATATAAATTTTTTTTTTAATCTAATGATTTCGCCTAATGAAAGAAGTAAATAAAAGGTAGAAACTAGGATATTAGAGAGGTTTTTATATAATAATAACAATAAATAATTCAGTTACATGTAATTCGCCGTAATTTTTGTTCAAAAATACTCGACTTATTAACGCTAGCCAAGTTTTATTTTGTCACATGACTAACTGAATTAAATAATCATATCTTCAATACCTTTTTTTTTGAAAGTAAACAAAAGAAATAAAAATAATATATATATTTTTTCGAACTGTATCTAAAAATACTAAATGTAAGGATTTTATTAAAAAAAATAAAAATAAAAAATAAAAAATAAAAAAAAAACCAAAAACAAAAACAAAAAAAGGAAACAAACAAACAAAAAAAAACTACAGTCGGGATCTCGATTGAACAAAATCGTTTTATATAAATTTGGATATATGTTTTAAAGTAATTAAAAAAATCGGTCAAAAGAATTTATTATATCAAGAGAGTTGAGTTCTGACTATATTTCATAAAAACAAAAAAACATGGTACCAATTAATGCGAATGAAAATATCAAAATCCAATTGTTAATTCAACAATTGTACGATAACATATAATATATGTGCGTATGCGCGTTTCACATGACAAAGTTGCGATATCAAAGATGAAACATTAACTTATGTAATCGATCAAAAAAATTTAAGTACTTGATAAACAGGAAATACAGTTTTCCGAAGTGTACCAATTTTATTTTAATTTAGAACGAAAATAACGCGTTAGAAAATTTTGAAATTCCCTTATTTAGAAAATTGTGTACTTTTTAAGGATTTTTTTTGTGAAACATGTTTAAAGTTCCGAACATTTGTTGGACAATATTCGAAAATGATTAATCCAAATCCAAAGTTTTCCTTTCATTATCATCATTGAAGAATGAAATTTTCTTTTTTTAATAATTCAAGTATAATTCTAAACAAAATATCAAAAAAAAAAATTTCTGGCGCAAAAACTTGGAAAAAAGAAAAGTGAACATGATGCTAATTCTTTTTTAGAAGCTGTACTATTTTAATTTTGGAATTTTCTTTCAAGTACGGTAAGGCGATTAATTTTCTTTTTTAGACCGTTTTAAAAAATTTGTAACACACCTTTAAATGTATGGGCGTTCCTTACCCTTATCTTTAATGATGTCAAATAGAAAAAAAAAATTTAAGAGAAAATATAATCTACATAACTTGCATTTGAAGGTAAGTAAATATGACTTCAGATATCATCCATTGTATTAATCACTTAACTATATTTGATTAAATCTATGAGAATAAAGATGGATGATTTTTTTTTAAATTTTTTTATATAAACTCCAATGTTTTTCTTGAAATTACAAGTTTCAACAGACTAATTGATACAAATATATATAAAGTGGTCTCAAATTTTTTTTCCGAAAACCAAAATAAGATTACACAATTTTAAACGAACATTTTTTTTTTTATGTAAAGTGTTTGTGCATATATCACTTTTATTAAATTCATTTCATTAAAAAAATATATATATATATTTTCTAAAAAAAAAAAAAAAAAAAAAAGTCCCTACATTTTTAGAAAGGATTCTTCATAAATATAAAAAAAAATGACTGGTCTTTTAAAGTTGACAACTGTTCTATTTCTTATCTTTACTTTGGCAACATCTCGTAAGTATAATTCATAAGCTGATAAACTTACAGCATGCAAATTACGAACTGAAAATCCTATTTTGCTACTTTTACAATTATAGAGGTCATTAAAGAATTCAACACGCCAACTGGACCAATTTCTCAAGGTGCCAATGTAATGCTTTCATGGTCATTTGTTGATGGAGCCGATGTATCCACCGCGACCGGATTATTAAACGCTAAAGATGCTACATCTCAAAATACCGTAACAATTGATGAGGCAGTACCGCTTGCACCTGGATCCTATAATTGGCTCGTTACTCTTCCTCCTTCAACTTATAACCTTGGACTTAATGATGGCTCCGGTTTTAAATTCACTGCTCCAGTGGAAATTGTTGAAGGAAAAGTTCCTACAGATAATTCAAAATCTCCAAATGATCCTAAACCTTCAGATAAAGAAAAAGAAAAAACTGATACAACTGTTGCTCCAACTAGTGACCCTACTGCCGCAAAAAGGTAAACATTACTTTTTACTCATTATTCTCAATTTCAAATTTCAAATTAAAAATATATTTTATAATATTCTAGTACATCGCCAACTATTATATCATCAACACCTAACGATTCAGCTCCTTCAATTTTATCCGGAACCAATGTCGCATTTAGTCTTTTGGCTGTTGCCATTGCAATGTTACAATTCTAGATAATTTTAATCATTATAACGATTTTTTTTTTCCATTTTAATTTTCAACCTATAATATTTTAATAATATAAAAAATTTAGAAAATTTCTTTTTTTTTTCCAATGGATTCTTATCGATAGTTTACATTAGATGGTAAATAATTTGATACATATTAAAGTATCGAAAATTTATTTAAAATATATATATAATTTTTTTTTTATTTAACCCCATTCATGATTTAATAATAATATATTTCCGAGTTCTATAATTAAACCAAAAGCTGACAAAAGATCACATCCGAAATTTGTATTTACAATAAATATGCTTTCGTGAGATCATTATGTTGAATTGATTAATTTGTATGTCTAATAAATGATCATTGTCGCTTTAATGTACATTTATTTAGCCTTGAAAGTTTTATTTTAATCGACCTTTTTAAGTGAAAAAAAAAAACTACCTATTTTGTTTTGGTATTTTACCGCTCGTAATAAAAAAATGTAAAAACACTTAATTACTAGACTCATGCGTTATAATTTCGGTGAAATCAAGTAACTTTTTTCCACCAACGAGAGATACGGTGATACAGGAGTAACAATGAATATCTAATGATGATTATTTCAAATATTTCAAAAATTGATACACTAGTTATTCTTACAAAGTGTTAGAAAATTTTCCCTAGGAACACTAGGGACAACTTGAATACTTAAAAATCAGCATATTTTATTATGTAAAAAAGAATTATTCTAAAATGTATACAGCATTATTGAAATCTGAAAATTATTCATTAAATTAGCATAATATTAAATTGCAAATTGAACTCACCTTAACTCGCTAGATTTTAAATATGTAATTGGAAATAGATTTATTAAAGAATAAGTTAATGAGTTTAAAGATGAAAATACTAAACTTAAAATGATATTAGCTGTTAAAAATAGAAAGCAGAATAAGATAATAAGCTCTAATAAAATGTCTTATTATAATGCTAAATAATTCATAATAGATTATATTTCATCATAGTTTAAAGACACTCTTTGCAAACAAATATTTTACATTACTTTATATTAGGAATATCTTACTTGATATGATAAAAATGATGAAAAGCATTAAGTAGTAATAATCTTGGTAAAAAATTCTTATAAATAAATATCAATCATAAACAGATATGAGTAGATAATAATAACTAGGTAACAGGAACTATTAGAAATGTGAAGCATTAATTAATATAAAAATATCTTTAATACTTCCTATAAATAATATGTATAAGGAAAGTATACAGAAATAATACGTTTAAAAACGTATAATAAACGTAAATAAACAGTATAATAAATTCGTAAATATTTCCGTATACTAGATACTGAAAATTGACTTTTTCTGTATGCAAAAAAAATACGGAATTTATGCGTCTAATCAGTATATTGTATACGTAATTTTGGTTGGGTTTTAACATATAAACATTAAATTATATACACATTTAATTATTAAATAAATATAACTTTAAAAATTAATTATAAAATTTTTATTAAAATAAAAAAATAAAAATAATAAAAAATAAAATAAAAAATAATTATTCTATATAAATTAATAAATTAATAAATTATAATATTAAATAAGAGTTTA